GAGTACATCTTTGGCTTTAAACATACTGTTTCCCCTATGGGTATGCCCTTTGTCTCATCCTTCATTAGAAATAAATCGCCTGAATAGTTAAGATCAAAAATGTCTGGCCTCTCTGCTCGATCTTTATATATGACTTCAGTTTCTATCCACATGATGAGTGAGTCTGTGTCTGTATAAAGTAGACAGGCTTTATCTCTATAGCGAGGCTTTATATAACCATACCAAAAGCTAAACATCATAGCCTTGCTAATGTCAAGAATTGCCTGCCCTACATAGATTGGTTTGTTTAGAGTCACTGTACTTTTTAACATGTGAATGGCTATAATTCCTCCTTCGAATTGCTTGAAACCTACAAATAATGGCGAACTTGCTAGACGTCTGATTTTTTTATCCTCTTCTGTTCGGAGTAATTCTACTCTCATATGTTTATGGATATTCTTCATCTGCTTACCGAAGACTGCATTATTTTTTAGCTTATAATACATGACCCCAAACTTATCCCCATTTGCCTTGGCTATTTTGCGTTTACGAATATTTTCCTCAATATATTCCTTCATCCACGGAGACTGCCTAAACTTGAGAGCGCTATGAATCTTTGTAACCTTCATTCCGAACTTCATATATGTCTGGAGAGCTCGGTAATGAACTATATAATTCTTCTTAGTAAAAAGGGTCTGAACTAGCTTTTCTCCAGATACATATTTCCCTTCTCCAACATTTTTATCACACACTAATATTTCATATATAGACTAAGCCAGTTTTCTGGTATTATTTGCTTTTCCGACGCTAAAGAATAATCTGCAAAGTAATCATGCAAGTGCACTGGGGCTTCTAAATCAACTTCAAGTATATACCCTATTTCTGCATCTGGTGCAATACTTTGAATATTTGGTACTTTCTCTGAACTTACCTTATCTAGAATTTCTGTGGGCATGTATTGGATCATCGCACCTGAATATAAGGCATTCATATCTTCATATAAGGCCTAGGATTTCGGCTTGCTGGGCTCATAGTCTGGACATTGTAGATTATTTGCTTTGGCATATCTATGACATGCCATTGTCATTCCTCCACAGATTCCATTTTCAACTATTAGATACTCATCCATATCTGTTATAAGCTTAAGTTCTACTCTACTACTTTTGTATAGAGAATCGTTAAACATTTCAGGTACAGAGACGTAGTAAGATGGATCTAAACCATCATCTTTGAAACACATTATAGTATAATTCATGAAAACATCTGCAAGTAAAAGTACATCAGTCTCAAGATAAAGGTTATGATATTCTCCAAAGTTCTTTATCTTGAATATTTGCCATACCTTTTGTGCATGTTCGTAATCCTTTTTACTAATATTTTGTTGACTAAGAAGTGAATAGAAATCCTTTTTAGACAGGAGGCTTGTTCTGTCGAATTTTTCCCATGTATTTGTCTAGTCATATGGAAAGATACCCTTTCGAAAAAGAAGCTTAATCTTGTCTATTGAATAGCTTTTTTCTGTAAAATACTTAACACTTAGAGGGAATTTTTTGATTTTCCCCCCTAGGCATTCAATCAATTTATCTAGCCCCATTCCCATATGCTGAAAGCTATCTAAGAACCGAAGCTGTTCTACATCTATGGCTTTGTACTTTCATATATTTTCTGGGATGCAATTTAGCTTATCAGCCATAAACTTGCTCACAACTTTCATAAGCGTATAAGAGTCATACCCTCAGAAATTATGACAGATAAGAGGCACTTTAGTTTCGAAAGAGCCTATACGCAACTTTTTATTACAAGAGTCATGAGCTAGGCCTCGGTACTTTCCATTTATATGATCATGATCTTTTACTTTTCGATTAAGTGCACTTAAAGCTTCTCGGTATCTTTTCTGTGCCTCTTTCTTTTTAGGATGTTCTTTTTCTATGTATGATTCCTATTCTTTGATTTTTAATAAATTATGTTTTGCTTCTTCGAGTTTTTGTACTATCTCTGGTGCTGGTTTTAAAAAAAGTCCCTTGCAAATCCAGCATTCTGTCGCCTTATTGTATACTTTAAGATCTCCTGGTGCTATTATCATTTCTGCAGGCACAGATAAGTCCTCCTGTATGTTTGCCAACTTCTCCTTGATTTTTGTAACGAATCTTTCAAGCGCATCTGGGCCCCTATATAAATTATAACTTATGATTTCATAGTTAAGTGAACTATCCATACAAACAACTACATAGCAATAACCATATGGCTTGTGCATCTGCAATCTTTCAGTATGGGTTACCTTCGTTTTCTTTTCTGGAGTTAACTTTTCGGTTAATATTTCTAGATCTCAGAAAATGTGATATAGATTTGGTTGCATGCATTTATGATTATAAAAAGCTTTGATACTCCTATTCTTAACTGGCATTTGTGGTCGCTAAGGGGCGTTATTTAGACCCTTGCATTTTGAAAAATGTTCATTGTATCTTATCTCTGAAGAGTATACTTGAAGACAATAATGGCAGAGGTATTTTCATCCTTTATACTTGCTATGATTGTATACCAGCTTATGTAAATCTTTGATAATACAGTAGTGACTTCTTTTTTCTTCTGTAATTACTAGAAGATTTACTTGCTTATATTCATCCCCTCTTCTTTCTGAAACATAGCGAAATTCAAGACACTCATTATGGTTGTGCCATTCATAGACACATATACTGATTTCAGGATTATTTTCTTCGAACTTTTTATAAACTGGTGTTGAGACTGGTACCGGAATTGGAATGTCATCTATATTAAGTTTCTCCACGAAAGCTCCATATAAGTGATACGGATTTCTTTCTGGATGAACTTTAACAGGATGCAAAGCTCCTAAAACACTCCATCCGAAACACCAATCATCATCATTTTGAATATTAATAATTCCATTATTACGTTTTGGCAAGTTTCAGGCAAAGGTATATAGGCAGTAGGACCAATTGGATTGAAATCAGCTATTTCTATACTAAATTCTTCTATATATTCTGGGTAAGCATCAGACATTTGGTATAGTGTTAGCTCTAACTGTCGCGCTTTTACTTGTTTATAAAATTTTTTCTTTAATTAATTAATTATCATATATGTAGAGTACATATCACTTTTTGAATTTAGTGATAAAAATAGCAGGATGATTGGTGAGTATTTTTGTTCCTATCTTAAAAATTCTGGAGAAGCTTGTGGGAGAGCTTGTATTCGCTCTGAAGGATGTCGATTCCATTGGAAAGCTAAAAAACATATTCCTTGCTCTGATTGTAGTAAACCTACCTCTTCTGCTTGTGGCCGATGTCCATTACATATCAGAGGCTATTATGTTACTCAATATTATGATAAACTTCAGACTAAGGCTTTAAATGAATCCATCAAACAGTCTCCAGACAGTTTCGAAAAAGCAGACAGAACCCATTCTCGACTAAGAAAAAGTTGGGTCAATTTCGCAGATTTCTTCTGGATTTTTACAGAGAAGTATTAGAGTTAGATTTATATGATTAATATATTAATTTATGAGCTGCTCGAAGCTAGAAAGAGTTAGTTAACAAATTTTTCTTTTTTTT